GCTCAGCCCGCCTTCAGCCGCGCCTTTGCTTGCGCGTAGCACCTGCCCGAGCGTACGAAGGATCCCTGCTCATCTGAAATGCTAGTAAACACACCGAACTGGGGCTTGTCTGCTTGGTTTTTACTTGTTTGGGTGGGTTAGCACACACCCCCTCCTCTATTTTCTTTTCCCAGCCAAGTCGGCACAGGACCGTTACTGCAGTTTCTTCCCATTAGGGGTAAGACCATAAAAACCCTTGTAGGTAATTTTTTTTTCCCCCCTCCTTGCTCTCTGGACACCTTTTTTATAAAAAAAGTTAAAAAAAACAAAGTAAAAAAAAAATGTAGTAGTGTCGAGGAAGGGGCAGGCTAAATTGGTCCCGGAATAAGTTGGGTTTTATTTAGTATAGAGAAAAGGTGAAGGGCATGTAGCAGCAGATGGGACTTCAAATGAAAGAGGGACGTTATAGAAATAGTACATCCATGCCCCCACCCACGGCCTGATCCGTGAGCGAGGTTTTCCAAGCGCTATGGGAGGAGTTATCAGAGTTTTATGAACGTCGATAGACGGTTTAATAAATACGGGGGGGAATGTTTATTCATGGGGAAACCGAAAGTAAAAGGAAACGGCTCTTAAGACACTAATTCGCGGGAGCGGTGGAGGTGCAGTCGCATTGGGCTGGGTGGTGGCATCGCCAGGTTTTTGTTAGAGATCCGTAACAAACCAAGAAACCCGAGTTCTTACATAGAGAATGAGAGGAAGCCCCAAACTAGGTGCGGATGTGGTGAGTTCACACTGTACCTATTTGGCAGTGGAAAACACTGGGAAACAGCTGTAGTTCTCCGAAAGAGTCAAATACTTTTGCCAATGCAGTGGAGCTCTTTTAGGGATTGAAAACTGAAGCTGTTCTAACTTGTCTGGCAGATAGACTTTGTCTATTAAGTAATACGGAGGTGCTCCTGTGCACCTTTTTTCTCTGCAGTAGGTAGAAATCGGCGTTAGGGAGAGGGAGCTACAACTAGTTTCACGAAGAAATGTAGCTGCAGTTAGGGATATTGTGGATACATAAAAACGTTTGAATCTTTCCAAGCCGGGAAATACGTGGGAAACGTCACTGCATTTTTCTGCAGTCAGGAACAAGATTTGGGCAAAAGCTAATTAACTTGAGTCTACATTCTTTCAATTTAGCTGAGAAATTGAAGACCCAGGCATCAGTTCAAATAGGTCAGTGACTAAAGTCTACACTGACAAACTTTGCTGCTGAGGAAAGTGGATGCTCTGCTTGCAACTAGTTGTCTTTTACCTAAAATGTAGGTGCCCTCAAGTTGACAGGCCACTTGCAGGAAATGTTTTAAGGTCGCTTGTCTGCTCCTACAGGAAAAGTGAACGATGCTGGGATGTAGAGAGAGCACTTCCAGACTCTCTGATGTATAATATCTACTTCCCACCCTGCGTGTTGCATTCCAGGAATGAGTGTGACAGGCAAGAAGAAAATTGGTAGAGGAGGAAATAAAGCACTTGCTGCATTTAGCAATAACCCATCTCTTAACATTCGGGGTCTGTAAATTATTCTTGTCCTCGGATCATGGCTATAAAGCTATCGGGGCCAAGCTGAAACGAGGGTTACAATGACAGCTTCAAACTTGGGCATCGCCCCTGTCCCCCCGGCCCGGGTCTCTTTCGGCCGCTGCCGGTGCCCG